TTTATCACTTTACAAGGAATCTAAGTCGGAGTTTGCACTCAACAGAATAAATTAATCCGTCACATTATGCCCAACGGGCGCTGGGAAAACCCACCTTTTAGCAGAGCTGACTATGTGGGATACTCAGGCTACAGAGTACCATAATAGGATTTTCAAAATATGTAGGCCCAGGAAAGTAGACACACACAAACACAGCCATAAGATGCCATAAACAATAAACAACAGTGCAATTTATTTATAGTATATGAAAACCTTGGAAAAGGAGTCTTGCCCCTTTTTGAGTGGTTAATTCACTTCTTCCAGTCCCTTTCTTGCCCGATCCACATAGGAAGCTACTGTAAGCTGCTTTCCAGTTTCCAGTGTTTCCCAGATCCTTAATAAATATCTCTCTTGCTCTGTGAGAATCTTCACAAAATTTCTCAAACAAACAAGTCTCTCTCTTTGACTTTACTGTATCTTCAAATCGCTTGTTTGGCTTTCTGTTGAATCGGGTCCAGGCAAGAACTTGTCCAAACTTGCTGCTCTCTTCCACTTGATTACAAACATCCTGCCATTTAAATCTCTCTCTCTCTCCGCCTCTCCCAGCGAGGAGCAGGTGCCTGGAGCTCTCCTGGGACGGAAGGACTTCTGGCGCAAAATGTTCAAGTCTCAGAGTGCGGCCAGTGACACCAGCAGCCAATCGGAGCAGGACACTTCGGAGTGCACCACCGCCCACTCGGGCACCACCACCGACCGCCGGTCGCGCTCCCGGTCTCGGCGCATCTCCCTCCGCAAGAAACTGAAGCTGCCGATCGGTACGTAGTCCAACATGGACGGAGGACTCAGAATCCAACCCCTGGGATGCAAATAAGACTTAATTGCAGAGCAGTGATCCTTTTCTATGATGTCTATGAGGGACTGCATCTCAGAAAGCCTGGAATGGATAACAATCCTGTGCAGCTATACATTGGGTTTTGTCTGGATTTCCTTACAAGCTAAGAGAGGGAGCATACAGTAGGTCATTGTATAATTTTGGATTTCTTTTTATTTCTTCTTTCCTCCTCCCTCCTCTTCCACTGCTGTGTGGGATGCCTCGTCTCCTCGTCTCGGCAGGGAACTGGCTGAAGCGCTCATCTCTCTCAGGCCTGACCGACGGGGTGGAGGACCTGCTGGACATCAGCTCAGTAGACAGGCTGTCCTTCATCCGCCAGAGCTCCAGGGTCAGTCCACTTTGTGTGGCTTTCGTTCTTTGCCTTACAGACATTACATTGAGCCACTCTATGTGCACTGGCCGCTCAACGATTCCATCGATCTAGCCAGACTTCTGCATTTTCTAAAAAGATATTGAGTTAAGTAACTTATCCATTGTTTATTACAATTCCATCGATCTAGCCAGACTTCTGCATTTTCTAAAAAGATATTGAGTTAAGTAACTTATCCATTGTTTATTACATCACATCTATTGTGTGAAGCTCTTGTTTAAAAACTGAAGTCCTATTAAACTTAAATGCCAGTTGTGTGTGTGTGTGTGTGTGTGTGCCCTGGCCATTCCACTTCACAAATTGATAGTTTAGAGTCTGTGAGGCTCTTCTAACAACATCCATGTTGCTGCTGATGGAATCATCTCTGGACAATGAATGATGAGCCAGTGCTTCCTACGGTCCTCAAGAGTAGAGATTCTAGTCCCAGTGGCACATCCATTAAATCACACTGTGTACATTCTGTTTAACTTTAATTCAGGACGAACTCATCTTCTTTCTCACCCCTGGCATTTATGTTTCCTTTTTGGTTCAGCTGAGGATCTAGAATGGCTTTGGTATAAGTTGTTCCTTTTTTTGTTGAAAAGCAATTTCAGGCTGAGAGTGACGGCCTAATGCCAATCGCTTTTTTGTCCCCAGGTGAAGTTCACCAGCGCAGTGAAGCTGTCTGAAGGGAGCGCTGTGGAATACGGCCGGGACGAGGAGGAGAATTTCTTCAAGCGGCTCGGTAAATGGCGGTCCGGCCGAAGGAACCCATCCAAGCTTCACCACACAGAAGAGAAAGATGGTAGACCCCTGGGGCATCCTTTCCTCCACTCTCTGTGTCTGTCATCTGTCCACTGCTCTGTCTACAGCCATCCTCCATGCAACTGTGTGCTGTTATTGTATATCCTGTGTACATGTGGGGCATGCCTCTTTGTTATAGGCTTAGTCAAGTGGGCTGAGGGACCTTATCTTGGAGCTGAAACCTTGGTCCTATATACAGAATGATATATACAGAATGTCTTCACCCCTCGCCTTTTAATTTAGGATCTGTCTCGGTGTAAGTGACTGCAGAGTTATATGCTAACAACCGAAATAGCAAAAGACTGTTTGAAAAGATTAAAAATAATGCTAAAATATTCACGCAAGCACAAATCAAATAGTCTCCTCCATGGAGCAAACATCTGTATTAAGTTTTGAAATTCCACACACATTCTGACATTGTAACACATTTTGTATATGAAGCAATTTTTTTCCAACAGTTTACTACCATTTACAGTATGTGAAGATGTTAAATCACAATCTCTAGTTCCAAAAATCAGCTTTTGTGAAGCAGAGTAGACGCAGTGAGTGCCTGATGATACAGTTCTGTTGCCCATGTCTGACATATAGCCAGAGGGAAGGATACGAAACCAGGTCAGAGTATGATAAAAATCTGAGACTCCAGACTCGGCTGTCACGATCTCAATGAAAAGCGGACGGACTTTGTGACAAGGATATGTCTTGTGGACCCAATAGCAGTGTTGCTTGATGGGAGAATCTGTCACAGTCTGACAATTCTAGTAGCGGGCCAATTCTTCCCTGTGTTTCAGGGTCCTGAACTTGTCGTCGTCATGTCCTCCGGTTCCAAATGTTAACACTAATAGTAAGGAGGCATTTGGGCCCCAGGGTCAGGGTCGATGTAGTTCCTTCATTACCGTTACATTGACAGCTCTGTGAAGTTGCCGCCCTGCACTAACAGCGCAAACTGTGTAACCAACTGCATCTGCATGAATCCTGTGCTGTTTTGTGCTGTTGAAAGTAGCATTTCTGCTGCTTTTGTTCCTGACCCATAGTGCCTTCTTTTCTCTGGGATGCGACATTATTCACCACCCCCCCCACCCCACCCCCCATCATAGTGCAAGAGAACCAAAGCGGTCTCATTCATTTGTGCTATGTTTGTGCTGGTTTTTGCCATGGAAAGTAGCATACAGTATGAAGTCTTTTAGTTCTTGAGATATAGCACCTCATTTTTTCTGGCGAGTCATGTGACTTCTATCGCCAGTTTAGGTGGGGGGCTGATCGATGTCCCCCCCTACAAAAAAGGAGCTTTGTCTCGGGAACGAAAGCAGCACAAACCCGCACAAACGACGCACAAGCAAATGTGGTAGGTTGTTTGTGCCGTTTGTAGGAGTTGGCCAAATACACTGACATCCGCTGCTTTAACTTAGTGATCATCCAGCCACCTTTTGCCAGCAGGGGGCAGCAGTTCAAGTAAACCTTATGTCCAAAGCAAACACAAGGTGGTCTGCAATGCTTCTGTGAAAAAAAGAAAAGATAGGAAGGAAAGGGAATTCCTTTGACTCAATGTCAGGGAGTGGAACAGCCCCCTCTGGGCAGGTGAAGACAGCAGTCTCTATCTTTTCTTCTGTGTTCTGCATGTTGCATTTGCCTCCACATCCCTGTCTGTTGTTATGTGTTCTTGAATGGCTTTTTGGTTTCTTCTCTGTCCAGACTAATGGGTTGCGGTGGGGGAGAGTCAGTGGTGAACAGAAACTTCAATCACAGACAAGAGTGTAATGCCACTGAAAGCCATTCATTATTTTAGTTTCTATTTATCAAAATTTAGTTACAACTTTAAATGATTAAAATGTGTGGAATAGAATATTAAATGGTTAAAACAATGAAAAGGCTGAAATGTATTCTGTGTTGAAAACATTGGGTATATACACAATTATATGTAATTCTTTCTTATTTATTATTTTAAAATCGTACATGTATATACAGGGTATGAATACATGTATACATATAAATAGACTACAGTACCCTTAATTACACATCACATGACAGTTCCTTATTGACATTGAGTCACCTCAAGAAAAAGCTCTGGAAAAGGGACAGAGTTGATAATGTTTTCTAGGGATTGATTAGAAGCTTAGTAGATTGTAGGGTTGAATACTGTTCATGACACATCAATAGCAATGACGGCTATAGCCTCAGTTATACTCATTCGTTCCTGAGTGAGTATCTGAATGCCCACTCAGTTGTTCCTGAGCAAGAATAACACTTGGATGATGAAGCCTTCGGTAGTAATTGATGACATTGTGGTGTCATGCTGAGTGACAAAGAAAGCCCTGAGGTGTTCTAACACAGGATGTACCAAGGTTATAAATAAGCACAAACCAACCAAGTCCTCTGTAAACAGTTCCTACATTTAGAGCTGTCCTGTTTGAGGGAAGCAGCTATAAACTGAAAAGTACAGTAAAGTTCCTAGTGTTGTCTTTCTGATGGTGCAGTAAAAGAAGTCTTGTAGTTGTTTTGAAAGGTTCTTCTGAACTCTTTGACTGGCTTCAGAGTATTCCTTTAGGGTAGTGTCTGCCTAAATGTTCTACAGCATGAGGGGCAAGCATTCCTGTAGCCAAGATCACTGTTCCCACAGAAACACTGAAAACACAGAATAGAATATCAAAATAATGAAAAAACAAATAGAACTGCACTTCTATACAATATATAGAAATATGTATGTATTTATTTTCACGTAGGAAATGACCAATGCTGTTGTCATTCACACGTCTGCTTGTACTTTCTAAACTGTATTTTGATATACTGTGAGATGGCAGAAAGCCAGCCCTGGCTGACAGCTTTCCAGGGCAGTAACATATTGTAACAGATGGAGTCGAATGCACTATTTTAAAGTGGCACAAATAACAAACTATGGAAAATATAGGTCTCTCTGTGGTAATAAAGGCCACAATGATTGATTCTTTAAAATTAAATAGCTGACAAAATGTCATCAGAGTCAAAAGGAGTTGCTTCCAGCAAGCAATCTTTCTTCTGTATGACATGCAAAGAAAAATATCAGTTACCTACAGTAGAAGGAAAATTAATTTTGCTGCCAGTTACAATGAATGAGTGCACTTTTCTTTTTTGCTAGAGTAGTTGACTTAGAATTACATTTTCACTGGAGAAAAATGTCTGAAATCACTAGGAAATCCTTCTGTCCCCTAATTCATTCATTTTAAATTTGATAAAATCTGGTCTTTAAAGGGTTTATTTTTCTTCGAAAGCAAAATGTAATGATATTGAGGATATGCAATAGATCTTGTTAAAACAATTATGCATTTTGATCTATATAACAGATATATATATCTGTATATGTTTGTGTGTGTCAAGGCAGGGAAAACCAATCTGTTATTATTCCAAGTCAGAATGGAGCTTTGTAAACCAGCGAGAATGCTCATCATGTCTTAAAAATGCTGGTAAAAATTACCTTTAGAAATGCAAAAATCCCAAAAGCAGGATTGAAATCATGGCTCAGAAATTAAAAAGACCCTGTCTGCATCACATGATCAGGCCTAAGAATATATCAGAAATCAGGCCCACTTTATTAATAAAGAGTTTAGGGATTTTTTTCAATAATGCATCCCCGAGCCCTGTTTATGTCATTTAAACACCTTGGTTTTAGGTCTACTATCCTCCTCACATCATTCAGCCCGTTAACAGTGAGGTCTAGTCCAGCATTAGCACAGTGAGCTGGGGTGGGGTCTTTTGCCAAGACGCTATGTTACTTTCCCCTATCCCTCCTGCTTCTCCTTCAGGGTGCCACGGGTTCCAGGAGCGCCTGGCTGCCAGTCAGGATGCCATGAAGAACAAAAATGTGGTGAATCTGGGTGCCATTCGCCAGGGCATGAAGAGGTTCCAGTTCCTCCTGAACTGCTGTGAGCCAGGCACGATCCCCGATGCCTCAATCCTGGCTGCAGCACTTGACCTGGTGAGCA